ATTTTGATTTACTTAGGATATGCCTCTTTGGTGGAAATAGCCTTTTTTTTAATGAGAGAGGAGCAGTTGTTCAACCCATGCGTCCTTTTCTGTTGGGTGACAAACTATTTAACCTTAAATTAATAAATTAGTCTCTGTCTAATACCAGCTTTATTCCCATCAGGCAGGATTTCCAGAATCTGAAATGGAAATTTCAGCTGATTGCTCGGTCAGTGCTCAGCACCTCCTCAAAGCCTGCCTTTTTCCAAGGCAGTTTATTCATCCGCCTTGGTTGCTTGCCACTTCTCTTGCACCGTTCCCTCTATTAAATTTGATTCTGCATTTCAGCGCACCTCTTCCAGCAGTTCTGCTCCGAGACTGCCTCCTTAGAATAACATTTTGGTGCATAGCTAACCACTGCCTGCGATACCTTGAGGTGCTTTTCCCCTTCCACACACACAGTATCTTTTGTTTGGTGCAGAAAAGTCGGGTACTGACAGACATCACTTTTTGCTCTGGGAACTCTGGAGCTGGAAGGAGATAATCGGCCACGCTGGTTCCAGCCAGTGGCTGGAAGGTGTGCCGGAAAGCTGATGCGCTAGTGAATGGGGAATCTGGTATTTTTTATTAATTAAGGAATAATTTGTGATTAATAACTATGGATTCTTTATGTTGCAGCTAAAACTAACTTCCAGTAACTGTAATCTGGGTGGGAACCGTTTTTGTTTTACACAATTTCTCACTGACTGTATTTCAGAATATTGCTTTAACATTTTACTAAATTTCTGTTACCACCTAACCCTCAATATTTGGAAGTAAAATGAGTTCTGCTCAGTTTGGTCTGGGGTAGGTGAATATCAGCTCGTCACACTCAGTTCAGGTAGGATATTTTTATATACAAGCCAGCGCTCCAGTTGATCTGGCAGAAGGCTTTGAAGGCGTACATACAGTGATACAGTAATTCCTTTTTCATTTCCTCAGAGCTTTCAGGGAAGATATCTGAAACTTATTTTCTTCTTAATCTCAAACCCTGAGAGTGAAAGGGTGCTTTTTTAATTAGAGGGAAATATAATTAACAATCTTTGTGCACTGGGAAGTTGGAGCTCAATGTGTTTGTGTGCACGTGCATCGTTAGTCAGAAACGGGAAGCAGGGAACATGAGCCCAGTCCTGATAACTCTGTATTCAGACAGGTTTGCGGTGCCTGAACAACTGCTTGCTTAAGTATGGTTTATGATATTGAAGTGTTATTCTTTGTATGAGAAAGGTCTCAAAACCTGGAAAAGGCCCTGTCTGGCACTAGCAGTCTGAAGAGGTAGATGTGTCCCAAAGATGAAGCCCGCTGCCTTCAGCAGTCCCTTTGGGTCCCTTATCTCCGGGTTTAGCACTCCTGTGGATGATCCCAGGGTCCTATGGCTGGTTCTGCCACAGGTAGTTCAAAAAAGTTGTGTTGTTGAAAACCCACAGATGGTTCAGTCAGGAGCCTTAAAAGGGTCGCAAACACACAGTTCAGTGAAAGATATTCTATCCTATGTAGCTTATTCAAGAGGTTAAGAGGTGACATCCTCAAAAATTGAAAAGGGGGAGGCGTTGAATGCAGAAGGGAAAAAGGAGGCAGACGGCTTGCCAGGGAGAGAGGAGACAAAGGGCCTTACAATTCCCCCATTAGCACTTGCTGCCGAACCGCTGCTTTGTGCGGCTGGGGGAAGGCGTCCGGCCCTTCTTTATCCCCGGCAGGAATTGCTGTTGGGCCAACGTGAGGCTGGGAAACGCTGGAACAGGGTGGTTTGTGCAGCCTCAGAGATGAGCTACGCGTCACCTTCTGATCTTGAAGATGGAAATAATTCAGGGGAGCCCTCTGGTCTGAGTTACGCAGGAGGTCAGGTGGAATTAGCCCAAATCCTCTTTTCTGTCCTCAAAATCTGTCAGTGCCGTATCTGTTGGTGAATCTCTTGGTGTGTTCGCCTTGAGCCTGGGGTCTCCCTGGTGCAGCCGCCCCGCCTGGCTCAGGGGTTCGTGTCGGGATGGAGGTGCTGGGTTGCTTCGAGGAGCTGCAGAGCAGGGTGTTAGGCTTTTTCTGTTGTAAGGAGGCAGCTTGGATATTTTTTTCGTTTTGCCTCTGATTTGGTTTTGGTTTTGGCTGCCCCAAAAATGTTTGAGAATGGTCACTACAATTATAAACCTGTAACATCAGACCTTGAATAAATAAATAAACAGAATATTAGAAAAGGAAATAGCATGCTGTTTTGTAGCGTATTTTTGGAGTCTCAAAAACAACTCAAGTTCTTGGCCTTCCAGCAAGCGAGGAGAGAACCAGTTGCATTGCAAACCGGGGCTGTGCTCTTACAAATGGGTGCTCTGGGTTTGTCACTTTACTGAAAAACAAAACAAAACCAAAAAAAACCACCCCAAACCCACAATCTCCTCCCATCATTGTTACCATAGGGGTTTGCGAGGCTGGAAGTTCTGGTGAAGGGCACTTTATTCAAACAGGAGCTGTGCTGGAAGTCTGGGGGGCTGTCGGCTTCTCTTTGTTTAGCCTTTATTGGGAGGAGGAGAAGGATTCAGACACGATAAGCTAAGGCCTGGGGCTCATTTTCTAGCTCCTGTTAGCAACCTGTGTGTTCTCTCTGTGGCTGTGTCCTGTCTGTAAGACTGCAGCAAAGCGTTTCCCCTTCCATCTGTTGGTAAATTCTTTGCAGAAGGAGCTCTCTTCTGAGCAGGGCTGGCTAATCAGGCTCAATGGGAGCTTTCAGCATAGCCTCACAATAATAATAATTGCATTTCATAAGTGTATGCCGAGCAGAAATGCAACAGAATGTGGTTTGACTGTGGGAATTTCACCATATGCGAGTCCAAGGGAAAGTTGGTCAAAACCCAAAGTTTTCTTTCTTTGTGGAATTCTGTTTAAAACAAAACAAAACTTACTCATTTGGTAATCAAAAGACATAAACTTCAAAATTTTGTATGGTCAGGAAGGTAAACGAACTAAGGAGACAATTAATTTTGAAATTTTTGGAGTATTTGGTAATGAAAATAGGGAAATGAAATGTGTTCTTGGGATCCAAGCTCCGACATCTGCTCAGCTCTGATTCTCCGCGTTTGCTGGCCTGGTGGCAGGGAGGGAAGCGTCAACGCAGAGTGACGGCCGTCCTGGCCCGGCTGCTGATGTGTGAGTGTGGCCAAGTGTCTGCGAGGAGGAGGAGGGCAGCTCCCGGGGCCTCGGGGAATCCCGGCTGCGCAGCAGGGAGCAGCTCGAGGACGCCCTGTGCGTCCTTACGGCGAGGCAGCCTTGGGGGCTTGGCCCTGGGCTGCTCCGTAAGGTGGGCGGCAGGACAACTCCGCTGTGAAATCCCTGAGTGAAGCACAGTGGATCCGGCAACCTGACATTTTCTGCCTTAGAGTATCTTCCTGAAAACATCTCGCCCCAGTCCAGTTCCCTGCTCACAAAGCTTTCTTCTTCGGTTGCCCTTCAGTGCCTTCTGGTAAACCTGTCTCTGATTATTTACTTGTTTTTGGAAAGTGATGGAAGAGGAAGGGATGTTTGAGGAATATTTTTAGCTTGTACAAGCCAATATCAAAGCAGAAGATGGATGCATGTTGTTACGGGTTTAGTAATGTAATTGACTTGTAATTCTCTGAAGTGTAATAATTTGTGCTTGCTAACATTGTGCTCATTTCCTAATTGGTCTGGCAAAACGAAGCTTGAAAAAGCCTTGCAGGGTTAAGGCTATTTATGCTCGGGGTTTTTGGGTTTGGCCATTTTCCCCCAAAAACACACATGCACACGAATGCACCTATGCAGTTCCTTCCTACTTTCCTATTTTAGTTTGATTCCCATTCGTTTCATAGGCACGGAGCTGCAGGGTGCTGCAGGCACCCTGAAGATGCCAGGCATCAAAGGGCTGACGTGGCATCTCTAACAGGATGTGGGTATCGGCGCTGGCTAGTGGTGTTAACCCCTCCTACTGACAATTTTGCCTTTATTCTGTAGACGTCCTGTTCAAATGTGTTTACGTATTTTTTTCCTACCACCTGTACATCTGAAGAACTCGAAGCATGGGAAAAAAACACTGCAGTTCTGCTGATGCTTCAGTGGGAAGACCACACAAAGAAATATTTTAAGCCCAATGTTCTGAACAGCATGAAATTAGCACCTTAGGCCTGTGTTTTTAGGTGTATGGGCTTCTTTTAAACACTTAACGTTGGTCGGGCACAGCAGCCTCTGAGCCCCGGCAGCCCGAGCACTGGGCAGGCAGCTCCTGGCAGGCTGAGCAGAGAATTTGGGGCTGTCAGCTCCGTGTGCAGGGGTCTAGCTGCCTCGAGGTCTGAGATAACCTGTGCATGAGATCCCTTGTGCATTGCCATGCACTCGCTGTGCCTCCCAGGTGCTTGATGTACGAGGGGCTGCCCTGTGTGTGGAGCGCTGCAGGCACCTGCGATACTCCTGGGGGTGGTTTTGTCTGGGAGCTGCTCAGAAGTGAGCAGCTGTGCCCAGAAAGCTGAAAAGTGAGCATCTGCCCTTCCCAAGCGTCCAAACACTTTTTGCTTCTGCACCATAAGAGATGACAGGTCTTCAGACGGCTTACGCCTTGTGACTGTAGAATCTTAAGCCAAATTTGATCTGAATTACTCTTTTTCTTTCCTCTACAAAATGTGCTGAACCAGTTAAACAATAAATGGTTGCAGCAAACCCGGAGTGTACTTCTGCTGTGCTTCTTCCCTCTTTAGGTTGTCTTTACTGAAAGACAACCAGTGCAGTACCCCTGACCCAGTATAATGTGATAGCCTCCAACTCGCTTCCCGTCCATCCTGCCGTAGCTCTAAGCGTTGTGCAGGCAGTGTGGGTGTTCCTACCCCAGTTCCACCTGAGCTCTGTAGGTGAGGATTGCCTTTTCTCCACCGCTGCTCCTATCCCTAAAGTGTGTGAACTAGACTTAATGAAACTTTGTCCCCAGAAGAGATTAACTGATGTTCACGTGAGTATTTCAGTGTGTTTTGTTCTGCTGTTTCCCCTTTTAGGTGACAGCGAGATTGTAAATAATATGTACGAGACCGACCCTGATCTCCTTGCTGGCGAAAGTGCAGAGGAGGAAACAGAGGACAGTATTATGTCCCCCATCCCTGTCGGACCTCCATCACCCTTTCCCACCAGCGAGGACTTCACTCCCAAGGAGGGCTCACCCTATGAAGCTCCCGTCTACATTCCTGATGACATTCCAATCCCACCAGATTTTGAACTCAGAGAATCTTCGATCCCAGGGGCAGGGCTAGGGATTTGGGCCAAAAAGAAGATTGAAGTTGGGGAAAGATTTGGACCTTATATGACAGTACAAAGGAGCACGTTAAAGGAAACAAACTTTGGATGGGAGGTAAGCGTGCAGAATGTGGTACTCACATTCATTTGTCTTCTCTGCAAACTGTTCGTAAAGCTAGACCGAGTCCTGGCTGGCCTGGGGACAGATGCAGTGACTTTGCTAATGCTGTATTTCCCCAGGTTATTTTGTATCCCACATTCCATGCAATATTCAAAAAGCAGCAGAAATCCTTTAATATAGCTTCTGGGGCTACAAATATTGCTCTAGCGCCATTTAAGAAGGTTGGTTTTAAATGATGTTGGGTCACTTCATAAAGTGCTTGTCATTTTCAAATTGTGTTCGGAACTTGTCGCAGTGGAAGAAATATGATTAGTCGCGTCATGTTGTGTGGTTGGGTGTGTTACCTTTGACTTCCAGTCCATGTTAGCTGTGCAGGCATTATTAACTGGTCCTAGAAAAATAACATGTACCCATTAACACCCTAGATGTTCTTGAGCTCCTGTTCTGCAGCAAAGATAAAGGAATGCAAAAGTCATTTTCCCCTAAGAATTAAAAAAAAAGAAAAGTCTTCAGTAGGAAACCCAGCACTATCCCAGAATTCCTACATCCTTCTCCCTGCTTTTCTGGGGTTGTCCCAGAAATCGTGTTAGTCTCCTTTACTCCCATGTATTCTTGATTTGCAAATATCCATACCTGTAAGAATTAACATCAACTAAGGTAGGTTTTGGGGACAGTGAAGAGTAGCCAAAGATTTATGGTTTGTGTCTGCAGCCCTATCCCAGTGCACCCATCCATGGCACGATATCTAACAGGTAACCACTTCTCTGCTGTCGCCCTCACGTCCACCCGGCACTACAGGACGCCTGCTCACCCGTTGGCTGGCTTAGAGAGGTTCGCCAGGCTCACTCGCATGCTCTTTGATAAGCTGGCTACGTCCCTCGAAATCTGTGGCCCTGTTTTGCCTCCCTTTCCTGCCATGTGAAGCACGGCGAGGTGTCAGGTCCATCAGCTGCTACCGGCGCGCAGTGGTCAGTGCTGGAGCACGGAGGTGGGAAGGAACAAAGGGACGAGGCTGTAGGACCCCAGTGTGCATGCCTCACAGCACTCACAGCAGCCTTGTTTTCTTAGAAATATGGCCCAGGAGGCCAAACGTGAGCATTAACATTGTGAATTGTCTGATTACATTTGCACTCCTGGGTGTGAAGCCTCAGGAATCGGTGAGCAGTGAGGTTTTGCGAAGCCCAGGGAAGTAGGTCCAGATGTTTTTGTTTACTTGTGAAACGTGCCCGGAGTGCCTGAGGAAGCAGAATACGCTTGCCATAAAAACAAAAGTCATTCTGCTGCAGAACTCATTCTGGTTACTGCCAGGTTATTTCAGGGAGCCTGTAGGCACGGGGCACCTCGAGGCTTCCCTGAGTGCTGGTCGCAGTGAGCTGCTGCCGAGGGAGAGCTCGGCCGGTTCCTGCAGGAACGGGGCAGTACCGGCTGTAGGCTGCAGCATGGGAATTGCTCCTGCACAAATGGGGGAGCTTTCTTTTTCTGAACATCGTATTTAGAGGTGATTTTTATTTTAATATTAACAAAGCTTTCCTTTGAGCAAACAGCCAACCTCCATGACTGCTAGAAATCAGACAAGACTCGAGTAACGCAAAGCTTTGTTCCCTGTGACCTTGGCGTAACTTTGTCCTTGTCTTTTGTACTTCTGGTACAAATTGGTATTTGCTTTCAGGTTTTTAAGAAACGTTTCCTATCTCCGTTACGCACTGAATGCCTGATACAAGCCATAGCCATTCCCTGCAGTCGGCGCTGACTTTGCGATATGGTTTGGTTTTGCGGTGTACCTGGGCAAACTTCCCCTCTCCGCGGCGTCTCGTTGCTGCGGCACGCTTTTGTTCTCCGGTGCGGCAGGAACATTTCATACCTGAAAGGAAGGAGTATTTGTCCTCCATCCGATGTCCTCAAATGCTGTCTTACACCCACCCTGACACTATTTCTTTTGACCTTGCTCGTGCTTGCAGTTGCCTCTTGGAACTTTTCCCTTCCTGATGTGCCTAAGGGCGGTTTGGAGACTCCTGCTCAGAGCCTTCAGCATTTCACCTGGGAAGAACTGCACAAATGCCTTGGTGCTGGGCAGGAACCCATCATAAATACTGCCTCTGCCTCTGTGGTGGTTTCTGAGCTGCTTCCTTTGAGCACAAGGCTGTTCGGAACAGCCTTTAAGAGATGCTCTAAGCAGCTTTCCGTGATGTGCCTTGAATGTGTTTCCGTCCTCGGTCAGGACGAGTAGGCAGGCAGTTGGCAGCAAGAGGAGAAAAGAAAAATGGAGGAACTTGTCCTCATTCTGTAACATATTCGCTAGGCTTTTGCCCAGTTTCTTACAAATTTTGCCTTTTGTTTCGTACAACAGTGATGAATCTAACAAATCTGCTTTTGTTGTATGCCAAGAGGAATGTCCCTGATGCAGTCTGACATTATTTTTTGACAGTACATCTCTGTAATTTGTGGGTTTGACTTGATAATGACTTGAACTTACTCATAACTTCTGATGGCTGGCTTATTGACATAACTCCTGAATTGCCCATTTTACTAGTTACAGTCACATTGTTTATTTCAGGAAAGATAATTGTTTCTTACACCCAAACTGCTTCTCATTGATGGCCCTCATTTCATTTCCTATAGTTTATACTTATAGTTTAGGCTTCAGTTTGTACTTGCAGTTAAGATTTATTTTGTCTGATGTCTTCAATTAAAAAATAAATGTTGGACATCTAGGAATTCTGCTATTAAGGGCTTTGACTTCAGAATGGATCTCTGCTCTATCCGATCCATGAACTCTGCAGAAATATCTTTCTCTGTTTGAGTTCAGTGGGACCGGATTTGTGCAAAGGAGAATGAAACAAAACAGTGAACTGCATTTCTTCCAAGTCCTCAGGAAACATGGGCTGCTGTTTGGGGGTAGAGGCCAGCTCTCTCTTCACCTGAACCCTTTGATCCAGACCTGGCCTGATGTAAAACATCGAGGTTCGGTAGGCAAAATGAGAATGCCGTTTGTTGAAACTTTCTGCTTACTCATTATTTCCCCTAATATCCTTAAAATATCATAGGGAATACAGAATGTTGTGCCTTACCTTGAAAAAAAGATGTGATTTTTTGAAATTATAGATATTTTTTTCCTTTAGCCAGACAGGAGTGACTGGGTTAAGGCTGGGTAAATACATGGCCCACTGTATCTGCTCCAAGCCTTTGCTATCTTGTTTTTTTCTACAGTTTTCCTCCAACATTTGCTTTGTGGGAATCTGTTTTTCAAAGTATTCTTGAAATTAAGCCCCACCTATTATTCAGGGACTGTTTTAACATGGCATGGCACGGCGTGATTCATTCGCATTTCATAAAAAGCACTGAGATGTGTCGGTCTTCCGCCCCCCGCCCCCTCCCAGAGATGATTCAGTGAGTGCTTGTATGGGACGCTGTGCCCCTCGCTCCCTGCCAGTGCCGTGCTGGTCGTGTTTATCTACTTTTTTTTTTTTTTTTCCCCCTTAAAAGACACCACCCAAACTAAAAGCCTTGTGATTATTTAGTGTGACGTGATTGCATTTCTGCTCTGCTCTCCTGATCCTATTACTTCCTTGCCTGCTGACACAGAACATACCATTCAGAGTACCCCGAATAAATCACAGCGTGTTTTCACTTTATTGCCTCTGGGACCTTAAAAAAAAAAAAAAAAAAAAAAAAAAGCAGCATAATGATTTTGGTCACTTTGTTGAGTAAATAATGTTATTTATCATAGCACTGTTTATTTGGCTAATTGAGGGAAGAGTGGGAATCACATCCTGGAGGAAAATATAGCAGCTGAATTCTAGGGAATTTGGAAGCAATCAGACATGCTTTTAGCTCAGTTTGCTTCACAGGGTAACTGCCATTAATAAAATACAATTATTAGTTCCTTTGTTTTGATCTGTGGTTTAAGAGGGAGTACTTGCTGAAACAAAAGAGACTTCTGTAACTCTAAAGTTCTGGCTCTCCTAATAACAAGGTAGGTTTCTTTTCCTACATCTGAAAAATCAGTGCTTTCATTTCGTACTATAGGGTGAAGATAGAAACTGTCCCATGAAGGACAGGTAACTGTGGAAAAAATAAGAGCCGGCAGCTAAGGATGCAGCAGGCATTCTTGGCTCCACATCTGGGCCAGTGGAAAACCCTGCTGGTTTTGGGCATGCTTCGTAGTGTCAGTGCTGCACAGTTGTTCCACCTTCCTGTTCTCACCAAGTACAATACTTCAATTTGCTGTGGAGCTCTGCTTTATTTTTGTTTGCTTGTACAAATGATCATAAATGCCAAGGAAATTTAACTTCACGGGACTGGCATTGGTTGCTGAGAGAATTATATTGCATTTCTGTGAGTGTCATTAAATAGGAAGGAGACTCTAAGCATTCTTCTAAATGTGATGGTTTTGTCGTGCTTCCCACTTAGAAGAGCTCACAGTCCAAATTCCCTTGTTTCACTTTAAAAGCTGATACAGCTAGTTAAAAAAGCACGTCCTTGTCTGTCCTGTTTTGAGAGAAAAGATGCTAAAAGAGGAAGATGAGTCCTTTAGATGAGCAAAGAAATTTCAAAACCTCTTTGTACTCATCCCTTGCTAATGTTTTTTAACTTTCAGACTGAAAGGATGTGATGACATTTCCCTGTAGTTTTTCTTCATGTCTCTTCTGATTCATTCATTTTCTCTGGCCTCTGCCTTTCCCTTTGGCTTGAGAATAACGTTAGGACAGCAGCCTCTATCGCCGAGGGAAGGGGTTAGGAACTGCTGCTCTCAACCCGCAGCTCAAGCTCTTGCAGGGAGCGAGCAGTGTTGGAAATCTTGCAGAGCGGTGTGTGGCCATTCCCGGGTGGAGCACGGTACCTGTGTGCAAAGCATGTCCCGTCAAAGGTTGCTTCACAGTTTCTGCAAGTTCTGTTTGGCTAAAATAATTCTGGCAAAGCAAGAATCTCTGGGTTCACCTGGGGAACAGAGCGTGAGAGCACTCTGGGGCTGAGAGCTGCTGACTGCTGTCCAG